CCTCCTCGCTCACTGATCTCAAATCTTCCTCAGTATCCTCGTCGCTCGACTCGAATGGATAACTCGGGCCAGAAGAATCAAGATGACCACGATCACCAACATCGTCTTCTCGCTCATGTGAAGTACGCCCTGATCGAATGGTATTCTCGATTTCAGACCACTCTGGCCCCCAACCAGGCCATTGAACACCATCGGCCTCAACAAATGGGGCTGGTTGATCAGGTTGCGAGTATTCTTCCGATGACACCCATCCTGCACTACTACCTCCACCGTAGTTGATTGAACCACCACCCTCCCCGTAACCTCCTGTATAACCACCGCCTTCGTAGTTGCTCGAACTACCACCCCATCTGTACCCTTCTGCAAAACCATCATCATAAGAATACTGGTGAGAATGAGATTCACCGACCGCCTCGGTCTCAACATACACCTCTGCAAGCCGGACTTGGTTATCGCTTAGGAACTGTAACATCATCGTAACCGCGTCATCATCGTTTATGACAACTTCTTGGAACAAGACCCCGCCAGCACTCATGTCTGGATACCGGTAAGTAATTTTGCCAAGTCTCGTCTGTCCGCTCGTACAAACCCTGTCTGCACAAATATCATAGAGTTCTTGAAAATTGAATCGGGACTCAATTTTCAGCATAGTGGATTCGCCGTCCTCATAATCAATGCCTATGTCAGAGTTTGTCACCCTTCCATTCCACCGAATAGTAAGACGAAACTTCTTGAATTTACCCATATCTACAATTTACAATAAGTATCTATTAGCTTAAAGACAGTAAAATTAACCAAAATCATATTGTACAACTAATATTATCCATCTCATAACTAACGAACATAAATTCAACTAACTAACAACAACATAATACGAAAATTAAATCATACTATAACTACTAAAAACATAATTAGACTATAATACGAAAAGTCTCAACATACCGAAAAATTTATGTTCTGTGTATTATGCTCGACTTTGGTTGCTGAAATTTGAAGAAAGGGGAGTGGTTATGTTTTTACAACTGCTGGTGGTGTGGTATTTATAACCAAATCTGCCAATTATTCACCGTTTTAGTCTAAAACGGTGAACACCATCACCGTGTTTGTCTCAAACGGTGAATAGTTGGTAGCTGTGACCTAATTTTGACCTACCAGGGGTGGAAAACGTGGGAAAAGATCACCGCGTTAACCTACAACGGTGAATGTGTTCACCGTTTTTAACTAAAACGGTGATGTATTCACCGTTCTATTCAAACGCAGTGAGTACATCACCGTTTTAGATGAACGCGGTGAATACTTCACCGTTTTATTTGAAAACAGTGAAATATTCACCGCCTTTGTCAAACGCGGTGATCTCCTTCACTGCGTTTGTCAAAAATGGTGAATGCCAAACATGTGTACTTTCGAAAAAATTTTTATAACTTATGTATTTTGGGAATTTTTTTTAAGAACGTGTGTACAGTAGGATTTTTTCCGGAGAATCACAAGGACTAAAAATGAAATTTTACATACCCACGAGGGCTTTTCGTGTTCTAACATGCAAAAAGGTTTTTTGGAAGTACTGTTGTATATGGTAATTGACTCCCACAACAACAGGGGGATCCGGTTGTGTTGGTCCGTGTCGGCCGGGTTGGATGAATGGTTGTTGTATTGTAGCCTTAGATACTGTTTCCAGAAACGACATATGCTTCAAAAGGGAAACAAAGTAAAAGAGAGAGACGACAAGCCCATGCAGACACTAAAATATATAAGAGAGGGATCGAAGATTTAATAATGGAAGAGAATGACATCTGTTATTTTCATGTATAGTAAAAATTGGAAATTGGAGCTGTGGAGGACTAATGGTCTAAGGCATATAGTAGAGATGATTGTGAAATAGTTGGAATAGTCAAGAATATATATACGACTCGAACTAGGAAAAGAGATGTGAAAGAGAGTAACGGATGATGATGTTCTCGACGATATATGCATATTTTAGATGAGTTGTGGTTTTATGTGCAGTTGCTTTGCTTGGATTGAGGATTATGATAATTGGTAAATGGATGTGATTTTATCCAAACTTGTTAGATAATGGGTTAGGATGAAATGGAAGATTTCTTATTTGGCGTTTTAATTTGGAGATGGTTGTGTTCCTGTCAATAAGGTTTAGTTCATTTATGAATTTTGGAGATGGATAGCTTTCAACCGAGTCAAAGTCATTTCTATTTTATTGGTTTCTATTGATAACAGAATGGTTGTTGAAGTATGAGTGTAACTGAAGTGGTCACTGAAGTTTTCACATAACTAACAAAAGGGTCACTTTTATTCATTTAGCGGAAACATTGACATCATATCTGTTCAGATTCGTTAGTTTCACTGGATATAGAAAGTTCAGATTCGGCACTGAAGTGGATGACGACCTGGAAAATTATCGATTCGTTAGTTTCAGTGGAAACATTGACATCATATATGTTCAGATTTAAAATTTAGTGATCGATCTGTTGTTATGGTCGGCCTTATGAGACAATTCAAGTATCACATAGGAAATACAAGGGAAACTACCTTTGTATATAAGTGTCCATCAAGATCATTAGTATGAGACCTTAGCTTTAGAAGATGATACCCGAAAGTAAATTCGTACAGACTTGGCCCACAATATCTCGTACTAATGAACTATTTGATCTCAACATCGGTTAACAACCCCAAACCCAAGTAGTGGCCGTTTATGTAGTAATTCACCCAATACATGAAATGTCATTTCAACCTTCTTTGCAAAGGAGCCCACACACAAAAAGAAGATACACAAATATGGGATGAAATGTCGTTTTTCCTCATATGGGATCAAAGGACACTAGCCATAGCCCATTGGTTTCACATAAGAAAACTATCGCAAACACAAACTGATATATAATAGTTTCTTTCTAACCATTACAAGTCATAGACGTCGCTATATATAGCTTAGTACAGTGTAACTAGATCTATATAGAGACGCCTTGTAATGTAACCAAAAGTTCCAATCCATGGTTGGTCCTAACTCCTAACTAGCCAAGTAGTGACTCGTAACCATCTAGCCAGTAGCTTTATCGAACCTAACCGAGAATTAGGCCGTAGATGGAGAAGTGGATAGGGTGTAAACCGTGTAGTGTAAACTACATCAGTAGATGGTGTTAGAGAGTAGTATAAGATCCAACATAACCTTCTCACAACAATTCGAGTTATTGGGACCAACTGGTTTATGGCATGGTATCAGAGCTGGCTTGGCCAAGTGGTCGTGTGTCCGAATCCTCACGAACCCCAATATTAACAGTTGTCTTCAAGCACATGGTATGGTGGGCATGTGCAAACTTCAAGCATGTGAGTCGGCTTTCGATTGAGGAGGCGTGTAAGGAAGTGGTTAAGTACCATACATGGACCTCTCCCAACAACTCGAGTTATTGAGATCAACTGGTTCTTGACATGATATTAGAACTGTTTTAGTCAAGTGGTCGTGTGTTAGGACTGTTTATGACAGATGGTAGCTTAGTGAGTAGAGAAGTACTTGCATTACATGAGGCTTGAAACCTTGAAGGTGAATTGATCGTGATGGGTCAAGGAGAAGATGAAGATGCGTGCATATTAATGTACTTGTTTAGCCATCTATAGAGATATTGGTCAATTTGACCTAGATATATGGATTCTTCTCTCCTTCCCCATGGCGCCTAACTTTCCTAGCTTAATGTTGTCCACATATACATGGGTATGTATATAACATGTGGGTTGCCAGTAGGGCTGGCTATTTGGACCGGGACCGGATGAAAAACCGGAAACCGGACCGTATAACCCGGACCGAGATCGGACCGGGACCGAATAGTAAACAATCCAATCCAATCTTTGGGCTTAGATTTGAGGTAAAAAACCGGATAAAGACCGGATAAGAGAGCTCAACGCCCAAAACTTAAGGGTAATTAGCATAAACGGTCACACACCTTTGCACTTAGTACAAAACTTAACCAACTCCTCACCCTTTTAGGCCTTAGGCCACTCAAATTCCCAAAATCTCAATATAAAATCAAGACCGAATTGGGACCGGACCGGGTCAAGACCGGACCGGATCAAGACCGGACTGTATCCAATCCAATCTTCGGTCCTTATATTTTTAGAAAAACCGGACTGGACCGGATCAATTTAGGCCAATTTAACCGGACCGGACCGTATAGCCACCCCTAGTTGCCAGGGAGGCTACATTAAAGTTAAGGAAGGCAGTTATAGACTTATAATCAGTCACATGCATATGCTAATTCGATCAATTTGAATCACTAAATCAAAAAGAAATGCTCTCGACTACTCTGACTTCTCAGCCTTCTCCGGTGCCGGCGTTTTCTGAGACTGGCCGTCCACCGGATACGGGACAGATTCCTGAACCTTTTGCTACTAGCATCTCGGCCTCGGAATCGGCAGAACATCCTCCTACGACCGCTATGATGGTCGACTCAACCGCTAGCAACGCCCATCAGGGAACTAAGCCACCAGCGGCAGAGGCGAACTCCAGCCCCGACTCCTAGATGAACGTCACGATCTCTCCATCACCTCAGGTTACGACGACATCAAAACAGCCTTCCTCTTATGCCAATGTGCTCACGGGAGGCCCGATTGCTCCCACCTCGCAACCGCTGGGAATCCAATGGACACCAGTCGGCGAACATGATCTGATCCCTGGTGAGCGCAATGGTGAGCCAGCTCTGAGTATTTCCTTGGACTTCAAGAATAGACTGTGCGCACCGTGGCACTGAACGTTGGTGGTCCGGCTTCTGGGCATCAAGATCGGCTTCCATACCCTCTGTTCTCGTCTCAAAGCTCTATGGCGGCCGACAGAAACCATGGAGATCAGGGATCTGGATGAAGCCTGCTTCCTGGTGAAGCTTAACAACGACCAGGACTATTTCAAGGCCCTTACTGATGGGCCATGGATGGTCTTTGATCACTACATGGTCGTTCATCAATGGACGCCTAGATTCAAGGTCTCGGATCCCCTACCCAAGACGATGATTGTTTGGGTTCAACTCCCCGAGCTGAAGATCCATTTTTACCACAAGGAGGTCCTAACTACCTTGGGTAATTTGATCGGACGCACGATCAAACTCAATTACCACACCCTCACCCAGCAGAGGGCAAAATTCGCCCGACTTGCAATGGAAGTCGACGTTTCCAGACCCCTTGTCCCAAGGATTTGGCTTGATGATGACTGGCAGCCCGTCGAATACGAGAATCTTTCCGTCGTCTGTTTTGAGTGCGGGAAAATTGGCCACTCTACGGCGACCTGTCCCAAGCTCTGGCCAGTCTCTGTTCATAAAGGAGTTGACATCGCCGTCGGTAGCATTCAGACTCCTTCGTCGGAGGTCTCGCCGGAGGCTAACGCGGGCTTCGGTCCGTGGATGTTAGTTTCGCGAAAAGGGCGGCGTAACCCTAGGGAGTCACCAAATAAAGGTAAGGAGAAGGATTTGGGGACCTCCAATAAAGGAAAGGAGAAAGATTCGGGGAGTCACCAGCTTGGATCCATGAACAAGAACGGTAAAAACACTCTAAAAATCAGTGAGCCAGAAGTTTCCTTACCGATGGTGGCGCTTCAGAATCCGCCACAGCCCCAACGTTCCTCTGGTCAAGTTAGGAAAGAAAACGGAATCAAGCATAATGGGGAAGGGAGAAGAAACGGCAAAGAGCAAATCAGGGATGAAGATTCTTCCGCTGGAAAAGGATTGCTGGGCCCGGGTCCTCCTCAGGGGCCCATTTCTAAGGAAGGGCAAAAGCCCAAAGCTGACAGTTCAGTCCCGTCGACGTCTAATGTTCAGGTGTCTTTGGCCACTACTCTGAATAGCGGGCCAAACTGTGGCACTTCTTCTGGGTCCGGTGCTCCAGTTAGCCCACCATCCTTAGCCTTTACTCCTTCTACGCTGGTCACCACGGGCTCGAATGGTACTGTTATGCAAGTGGTGCAGGTGTCTTCTTCACAAAGTGAAGGGTTGCAACGACAGCCAGAACAAAGCTCTCCGTCAACTGCGAACAGAACGAAAGGGAAGAAGAAAGGCAAGGGGCGAACAGAGAAAAGATCGCCGGCGAAGCTTAATCCCATTCGCCCGCTCCAGATATGGTCCCCGATAAAGGATAAGAGAACAAAATCGAAAGCGAGGATGGCATCTCTCACTCTCCATAAAATTAATGCTTGGACAGAAGCAGCCCATTCGGTCACGAAGAGTTCGTTTGTTAAAGGATCGAGTGATGCCCCGCACTCTGTTCCGAGCCAAGAAGCTTCGCTGGGAGACCCGCCTCTTCCGGCGGTCTAATTTGGCGGCTTTTCCTGCTTTGGGCCTTTCCTCTCTGTCTCCCTGCGCTATTTTTTTTTCTTTTCGTTTCTTTGTTTTTACTCGCTATGTCTTTTAAACCTTTAGTTAATATTTTTTCTTGGAATGTTGGTGGTGCAGGTAGTAAAGCGTTTGCTCGAGCGCTGAAGCTCAGTATTCGGCAGCATCGACCAGATTTTGTTATTCTCTTGGAGCCTCAAATCAGTGGCAGTTCGGCTGACTCGGTCTGCGATAAATTGGGTTTTCCCAACTCCATTAGAGTGGATGCGGATGGCCGGAAAGGAGGTATTTGGATCTGTTGGGATGGCGGGCGTTTCTCTACTGAGCTTTTGTCAGCCTGCAACCAGCACATCTCCATTCACGTTCGACAAGGTAGATGTCGGTCGTGGGTACTGACTGCCGTTTACGCCTCGCCCCGGAAACACCTCCAAAAGTCTCTTTGGGATAACCTTATTGATCAAAGCAAGAGGACTGAGGAACCGTGGATCCTCACGGGGGATTTTAACGCCATCCGTGCTCTTACTGAGAAGACTGGCTCCTCCTCAGCGGCTACTATCAGGCGGTGCCGAAAGTTCAATGACAGGATCAATATGGCCGAGCTGATCGATTTGGGCTTCTCGGGCTCGAGCTACACGTGGACTAGGGGTGACTCAGTTCAGACGCACAAAGCTAGTAGACTAGACCGAAGTCTCTGTAATTTGAAGTGGAATGATTGCTTCCCCACCACTACGGTGCTGCATCTTCCCCGCCTTCAGTCAGACCATAATCCTATTTTGACAACCGTGGCTACTCAGGAGCCTTTTTTGTTCGACTCTCGATCTTTTAAGTTTGAGGCGGCTTGGTTTACTCATAATAACTTCCAAGATTTTGTTGCAGGTACCTGGGAGGATGATGCTCCTCTCCCCCAAGCTCTTACCTCACTGGCGGAGAAACTTAAAGATTGGAACAGAAATGTTTTTGGCAATGTTCAGCAGAGGAAGAGGAGACTTCTGGCCAGACTGCAAGGGGTAGAGACTAGGCTTTCCCAGGCCTTCTCGCCAGCTCTGGCAAAGCTGCACTCTAAGCTGGAAGCTGAGTTGGCCAAGGTGCTCGAGCAAGAAGAACTTCTCTGGTTCCAGAGGTCAAGAGAACAGTGGGTGAAATTCGGGGAGAGGAACACAGCCTATTTTCACAATCAAGTTAACGTTCGGAGAAGGTGCAACAAGATCCTGGCTCTTCGGGACGTGAATGGAGATTTGGTGGAGGAGCCTCAGGCTCTTGCTACCCTTGTCTTTGATTCTTTGGCTCTTTTGTACTTGTAGGATGACTCGACCTATGAAGACAGATTGCCGAAGAACGCTTTCCCCGGACTTGATCAGGAGGATTTAATGCTTCTTCTGAGGCCTTTCACCGCCATCGATATTCATAGAGGCATTTTTTATATGAAGCCATACCAGGCTCCCGGCCCGGATGGGTTCCAGGCGGTTTTTTATCAACAGTTGTGGCGGGTGGTGGGTAAGGCCTTGACAGAACTGGCTATTAACTTCTTTTTTGCAGGTACCCTCCCAGAATCTGTGTCAGATTCCACGGTGGTCCTGATCCCGAAGGTGGATAGCCCTGAGTTTGTCTCTCAACTGCGGCGTATATCTCTCAACAATGTCAGCCTAAAAGCCATCACAAAAGCAATGATTAGCAGATTGAAACCGGTTATGAGGAAACTCGTTTCACCGAGGCAGAGCAGTTTCATCCCTGGAAGACAAACAACAACAACATTATCGTGGTGCAAGAAGTTCTCCACACTCTTGAGAGAAAGAAAGGGAAGAAAGGAGGGCTCATCCTGAAGATTGACCTGGAGAAGGCATATGATATGCTGAGATGGGACTTCCTTCGTGACACACTCAAGGAAGTAGGATTTCCCAGCACCTGGATCAACTGCATCATGTACTGTGTGGAGCAAAACCGAATGAGGATTCTCTGGAATGGGGAGTTATCCCAACCTTTGACCCCAACTCGGGGAGTTCGCCAGGGAGATCCTCTTTCACCCTACCTTTTTGTTTTGTGCATGGAGCGTTTATCTCATATGATTGATGAGGCAGTTATTAACAGGAGTTGGAAACCCATCCACCTGACGAGAGGAGGACCACCACTGACTCATCTCTTTTTTGCAGATGACCTTCTTCTTTTTGCAAAAGCAGAGATGAGACAGATCAAAGTCATTAGGCAGTGTTTGGATGACTTATGTTTCAGCTCCGGGCAAAGAGAGAATTACAGCAAATCCCTGTTGTATGTTTCGCCCAATGTGGATCGGCAAAGAGCAGAGCATTTTAGCAGACAAGCTGGCATTCCTCTAAAGATGGAACTAGGAAAATACCTGGGGGCTTCACACTATTCATGGAAGGATATCTCCAAACCGCTACCGGAGTCTTCTTCTTCACATCCAAAGGAAATTGGCTCATTGGAAAGCGAAAAGACATTCCTTGGCGGCTCGGCTTACTGTTGTCAAATATGTTTCCTCCGCTTTACCTACTTACTGCATGAACACTGAACTTATTCCCAGTGCAGTTTGTAAGAGTATTGACAGGATGAACAGGGATTTCATCTGGGGGGATGAAGAGGACAAGTCGAAGATGCACCTAGTAGCTTGGGACAATATGAACCAGCCTAAGTTGCATGGTGGAGCTGGCCTAAGATCTCTCAAGCAAGCGAACCTCGCAATGCTTGCGAAGAGCGGCTGGAGACTGATTAAGGAGAAAGACAGCCTTTGGACTCAGCTGATGGTGACTAAGTACGGTCGGCAACGTGAGAATCTGGAGATCATCCGGCCAATTCAGGGAAGTTCCTTTACCTGGCGAAGCATCGCCAAAGCTGCTAATCTCCTCCGTAAAGGTTGTGCCTGGAATATCAAGAACGGTAAACACACTAAGTTTTGGCTTGATCCATGGGTTTTGCAGGTCCCGCTTAAGGAGGTAGCCCTTGGTCACATCCCGGAGTCCTATGTTGCTAAGCCGATCGAGAATTTCGTGGAGGAAGATGGAGCCTGATAAGCTGGCCACGGAGGAGGACACTATCTTCTGGTCAGCTTCGTCGGATGGGAGTTCTCGGCGAAGTCGGCTTATTCCATTCGGCCCGGTACTTCTGGTTTCGTCACGTCTCGGCAAGTAAGCACCACAGCTTCTTTAGCTCGGATGAGAGAGGGTAGCTTTGTGAGAATCTCAAGAACAGCGAACAGATGGGGTCCGGTACTTCTGGTTTCGTCACGTCCCGGCAAGTAAGCACCACAACTTCTTTAGCTCGGATGAGAGAGGGTGGCTCCGTGAGAATCTCAAGAACAACGAATAGCTGGGCTGCCTTCTTCAGTGTCTCAGCCTGGCTCATCTGGGATGCACGCACGTGTTCAAAGGTTCGAGCTCTGCTCTCTCCCCTCCTTCCCTTGAGTTTTTCAATTATGGCCAAGTGTAAGCTTTGGCACGAGGCTTGGCAAGCTCCCTCTCCCCTTCCCAATGGTAGAGGGCCGGTGGCTGCTCGTACTACAGCTATGGTTGGTTGGACTCCTCCGAGGCAGGGATGGATGACCCTCAATGTCGACGGGGCCTCTTGCGGTAATCCCGGAGCTGCTGGAGCAGGAGGCGTTCTCCACGACTGGACAGGTAATTGGGTTATTGGCTTCACGACGAACTTTGGGACGGCGACAGCTGTTTTGGCCGAGTTATGGGCCGTTTTTTATGGTTTGGATATGGCCAGGAAGAAGGGGTGTTGGGCGGTTCGCCTCGAGTCCAATTCCCAGCTCGCGATACAACTCATCAAGAACAGGAATGATCTGGTTCACCCTCATGCTACTCTTTTGTCAGCGATCCGTAGGAAGATTAGTCAGGAGTGGTTGGTTAGCATTACTCATGTATATCGGGAAGGGAATAGAGTCGCGGACTGGCTCTCGAAGCACAATCTCGTCTATCCCTACGGTATACAGGAGATTGCCAACCCACCCCTGAGCTAGCTTCTATTGTTAGAGAAGACGCCATGGGCGTAGCTTTTGAACGCCAGATTGTGGCTCCCCTTTCTGCCCTGTAGGGCCTCTCTGTCTCTCCTCCTCTCGGCTTTGGCCTCCCTGTATGCAAAAAAAAAAAAAAAATGCTAATTCGATCATACATAGCAAGATATCACCCTAGCTATGAAGGGAAAAAATGTTATATGAGATGGATGGACATGCAAAAAAAAATCAGCTCTCAAGGGTGTAAAGACTAAAGTGATTCTTGAAGGATTAATCGAGCAAGGCCATACTTTAGAAACAAGAGAGAAGATGTGTGTATGAATTATGATGTGTGTTACCTGTCAAGCAAAGGAACTTTCAGGTTTCATTGGGCTTATGGGCCAACACAACCCTTTTTTAACTTTCGAGATTGGGCTTGGGACTTTCTTTGACCTCGTTCTGAGGTTTAATTGGGCTTATGGGCCAACACAACCCTTTTTTCTTTCAAAGCAAGAAATGTTCTTATGGGTACTTGGGCCCATTGTGGACCACAAAGCGCAACAAAGTGACGGATGGGGCCACTAACATGCTATCATGCCTAACGGAGAGAGAGCCCAGTACAGTGGCAACTGTAAATGGATCAAACGAATCCGAAAGCCCACGCTGTTTTTCAAATGCCCCAACCCATCCTACGAAGCCCAAACCTAACAACCCACATAACAATAATTTCTTTAATACTGAAAAATGAAATTTACTTATATAATTTCTGATTTTGTCGTCAACTGATTGGATGCATAAGCTTTCGTATAATTATTATTATATTAGACGAGGATCTTACTACAAGATCAGATTCTCATTCCCCTTATTTAATTTATTTCGAGCCAAAAAAATAAAATTAAAAGTAAAAAACAGCCAAGCCAACGCCCAACGGTAACCGACGAAATAAGAGAGCACAAATCCCGACCGTTGCGTGGAGAAGGGTAATGGCGACACGTGTCCCCTCCGATGTCTCTCGCCTTCCCCATTCGAAAACACGTGACCAATTGTTCTCACTTGCAAACAGTTTAGATTGGGCGGAAAATAATATTATTTTGTTTCAGAAGCAAAATTGTATACTGAATTTGTTTTTTATTCGTGAATATTTTCAGAGATTATTGGGGGATTTAATGCCTACACGTGACTCACGTTCAAACCAATTCAAACTCATATTGGACAAGATGATTTAGCTGCAATGAAAATAATATCGAGTTTGATTTGGACCGCACCTGATCAATCAGTGTTTGGGTCGGATCAACAATTGGACTCGACCAAACTAGACATAATACATTGTTCGTCCACACATTTGATCCTAATACGTCTTTCACTATCGGACGATGATTCTCATGAGTTTGATCCGAAGTCATTCATAAATAATAAAATTAATTTTATCACTGCATAATTATCCAAAACTGAATACACATTATACATAAGTGATTATGATGTTTATGTTTTACGACATTCAACCGTTAATAAAAAAATTGAAAATAATTAAGGAGTCGTTTATTAGAAGTCTGTTTACGCTGTATTTCTTCTTTAAAAAAGCACTAATTGTGTCCGTTCCTAATCATTTAAAAAAAATTCACCTTTTCCCGGATTATTTTTAAATTTATGTCTGTTTTTGCCGGGAGAAATTAGGGAAAACAGAGAAGATAAAAAAGGGAAAAATCAAACGGATAAAGCCCAGAAAGAGCCAAAACAACTCCTTCTTTAGTCCTTCTCCTCTCTCTCTCTCTGCCTCGTTCATATATATCATCATTTTCTGAAAAAGATTGTATTTTTTATTATTATATTCCGGGTTTGGCTCACTCACTCCCTCAGCTGAGCTTGTGGCGTGTGCATCTGCTTGTGTTATTCTCGAAATATATCCTTTTGAAGGGTCTCTCTCTGTTTGTGTGTTTCTTTGCGTGCAGTTTTCTGGTGGGTAAAGTTAAACTCTTTCTTTCTCTCTCTATCTCTAGCTCCCTTGGTGCAAGTTCTTTAGGTTTCTTAATTTCTCGCTTTGCTGCTTCGTGGGTGGAAGTTAGGTGAAGAAGGGTTGTTGTTGGTTTGTGGTGGTGCAAGAGGACCGACATGGCGAACTCGGCGGAGAAGAAGGAAGAGACGAATACTCCAATCAAGGGCGACGAGGGTTTCTCGGTCGAGCTCCCTGCTCCTTCCGGCTGGAAGAAGATGGTTCTCCCTCTCTCTCTAACTAACCCCTTTTGCTCCTTTCTGCTGCTGAAGTTCCTGTTTCTTTGAATTTGCCTCTCTGGGTGTTGCTTGTTTCAAGTTTTTCTCGTAATTGGTTTGTTTCAAATTTCAATTCAACTGGCTCGACATGGGGAATTAGAGAATTAGGGTTTCGTTTGGTTCGGCGTTGGGGTTGTTGGGGGGTGTTTCTGTATGAATAACTCTGCAACTTCTTCCTACTGTACTTGGCTTCCTCCTTAATTAGTGTTTTTTTGGGAGGGGGATTAGGGCTGTTCAATTGTTCTAGCTATGGGAATTACAGATATACTGTATTTTTTGCCTGAAAATTGATGGTTTCCGTCAAATGGTTTATTTCCCATAGGGATGTATGCTGCAAAGCGGAGATAGTTATAGCAATGTGAGAGTTTTGGAGGTTAAAGGAGCTGTACATATTAGTTTTTTCAGTTCAGGGGCTTAGAGAAGGCTCTGGATTTTGACTTTTGTTACCTGAATTCGGTCCTGGTATTCATTGGGCTATTTGCAGGCTGCTAGTTATAGGAGAGTTATTGTCTTTCTGCTTTCTTCCCGTTCACAAGAAGATACATCGATCAGTGCATATCTAGTTGAAGATACATTGAAGATACTCAATGATGTTTATTCTATCCCATTTGGATATGATAAGGATTTATGGGAATTGGATGTGTCAGCAAAATATAATTGGGGAAGCCTTGAGTCTTTGACAATTTAGGGTTTGTTAGTAAGTGCGGGTACTTGGTGACTTTAGACTGAAAGTTTTAGATTTGACAGCGATTTGAACAGGCATGAAATGGTTCCACTGCTTTGTAAGGCAAATAGAATAGGAGAAATAAGCCAAACTTTCTGGTTAGGGAGATCATTGCAAGTATAGAAGAGATGTGGGGGGTGGCATATAGGAGAATAGCATCATGGTTTGTTCCATAGAGCTTATGATAAAAGTAGTAGGAACAAGTTGGAGAAAGAGTTTGGCATTACAAATTGATATTGTTCTAGGGATGCTCTAATGGATGGAGGCACTCAAATAAAAAGTACTGGTTGTATAGGACTCTGGTAAGTAAAAAGATATTCCATTTAACCAATTGGACATAGGGTGCAGTAACCTCTGTTAGCAGACTTGACTTTGGCCGCAGATTCAGCTGCCTTACAGACGGTTTACAGGATTGGAGTTGGATCCGCAGTCTTGTTTCCCAAAAGCAAATGGTCTATCGTGTAGTTTTTCCTATTCAATGCCTTAATGAGGTTCTCCGCCTATACTCTGTGATTGACCTAGATACCCAGAACAGAGGAGTTTATATTGCCTGTTGGCAAATTAGACACGAGCTTGACGTAGCATCCTGGTAGTCTGATGGGAGTTCTTCACTTAGTGGCCTGTGGGGTTATAGCAACACCTTCTTAAGAATAATCTTGTGCAGAAATCTTGTTTGGAGGATGAGTCTCACTGATGCCCTTTGTGAAATATGATTAATTCGTCTAATTTTACTTAAATTCTAGTCTTTTTCTTTTGCTTGGAGTCTGGAGATGTCATTCAGCCTAAATTTCCCCTTTTCTCTCTTTCCACTTTTTAATAGTTTGTGGGGGTTGTCTTGTTTTCTCCTGGACCTGAACTTTCATATCAAAAAGACTTTTTACCCCATCTGCATGCATTTGTAGATTTTTAGAAGTTCGCATATATCTTTGTTAACAGTTCCACATATGTGAAGTTGGTTACCTACTCTCCTCAATCCCACCTTTTGTCAAGGATGTTTAACTTGTAGCTGTGTAAAGACAATCTACTCTATTCCACCTTTTACCAGGGTTTTCGCATCATTTAAATTCTCTTTTTGCATTGCATTCACCAGTATAAATCATTACCTCATCCTGACACATCAATGATGGTTATGGTTGCTAATGCACTTAACATGATCATGAATGAAGTTTTAGCTGCCCATAACTGTTACAATTATTTTTGTTGACTTTGTAGTTTTCCCCCAGTAAGAAGAAGAGTGAGATCACATTCATCTCCCCAACTGGAGAGGAAATCACTGGTAGAAGACAGTTAGAACAGTACCTCAAGGCACATCCTGGTGGCCCAGCCGCATCCGACTTTGACTGGGGCACTGGTGAGACCCCAAGGCGGTCGGCTAGGATCAGTGAGAAGGTGAAGGCTACTCCATCTCCACAAAAGGAGCCCCCAAAGAAGCGTGGCAAGAAATCCACATCAGCTGCCAAAAAAGAGAACAAAGAAACAGGAACTGGCGATGAAGCAACTCAGGAGGCCAAAGATGCCACTATGGAGGAAGCTGAAAAAACTGGGAAGGATGATGCCGAGGCAGAAAACATAGAGAATGCTGTGAAAGTCAACCAGGATGATGGTGAAGAAAAAGCACAAGATCCCGATGTAAAGATGGATGCAGCTGATGGAGCTCCATCCCAGAAGGAAGCTGACGAGGCTGAAGGTCAGCAGAAGGGGAGCTCTGATGCTGTGGCTGAGAATGAAAGTGAAAAGAAGGCTGAAGGTCAGCAGAAGGGGAGCTCTGATGCTGTGGCTGAGAATGAAAGTGAAAAGAAGGCTGAAGGTCAGCATAAGGGGAGCTCTGATGCTGTGGCTGAGAATGAAAGTGAAAAGAAGACCGAGGCTGAGGCTGAGGCTGAGAAGACTCAGGAAAAGGAAGAGCAACCACAAGCTGAGGCAGCAGCCACTAATGCAGAGGAGAAGAAGGCTGAAGCTGAAGAGGAGGAGAAACATGAGCAAACCAACGAAAGCGAACCAGCATCTGAAGGAGAGTCCAACAAGGACAAAGAGGAAGCAGCAAATGGGAGTGCCAAGAAACCAGATGAGACAACCACCATTCAGCCAACTGAGAAAGTTGAAGGAGCATCAGTTGAGAATGGCAGCCATGCTGCTACTGCAACAGTTACCGCTACCTGATGATGAAATTCCTTGTTCGGTGACTTTCATTTTGTTGTTGATCTTTTGTTAATGTCGCCACCCCTTTCTTTTCCCTCTGATCATTTTAGGCCTGTGAGTATTTTGGATGACTGTAGTAGCTGTAATGTTGTAAGGAGTTAGCATCATCGAGCTCTCTGATTGTTCATTCAGACAGTGGTATGATATAACTACAGATTAGGTGTGCATTGTAGCAAAGCTCCTGAGCGAGAGTCAAGTAGAAAGAAAGACACCGACACAACTTGTTAGCTTTTAGTAAGTAAGAATTGTAACAGTTGTATGCTGTCGGATTACTGCCATGTAATGCAGTCATGGGAATAAGCTCTGTACTAGAGATTCAATGCTTGGTCATCCATCTATCCATCATTTTTTTTTTTTTTTTGTTAATGAGTAGTTTAACTTCACAATCTGGGCAAAGGCATTCGATAGGGGGAAGTTATAGATATTACCATTGCTAACTTATCACAATCTCAGGTAAGCAACTTTTACATTGCTGTCTACTGAAGAAGTATAGTCGAACTTGAAACTCAAAACAACTTTGACATCCTCAAGACCCAGACAAGAAGAAATGCAAATATGGAAGATTGGGTTGCTCTTCCAAATACAGAGAATGCTCGCACTTGAAAAAGGATTGCCGTGTTGATGAATGGGAAATGCGAAAATGAAGAAGCCAATCTATGTGTTTTGCCGTATTCAGATCCCTTTGAGCTGTGTGATTATGCCAGTCAAGGTGGTCCATTTCTCGAAAGCTGAGGCTGATGCATAGAAGGCAACTTTCGAGGATTCGATATCATTGCCAACAACTGCAGCAACAACAACAACAACAACAAAGGGTTAAAAGGAATCATATTGATTCGATTAACATCTACTTTGGTGATCAGGACACAGAACCCACCTGATGAAATCAATGAAGCTAGGGAGGAGTTGAAGGTGTCCACTTCGGTTTTCTCTTCAGGGCCAGAGCTCAGCTGCGTTAGCATTGAAGCAGAATCAATTAGCGAGTGGGAAAGAACACAAAATGTGAAGTGGGTTTTTCATTATTTACCTTAGCAAAGGCTACATTGGCCTTCTGAACCCAATCAGTATCGGTTCCTTTGCCTAGAACTGAACCAGCTGCTGATAGGTCACTGTTCTCTATAGCTTGGCCTACTTTACTCAGATTGTAAACCACATCTTGCAAATACCCTGCCACGTTCAAACCCCCCATTTGTCACAAATTCAACATCCACTTCACTCAATTGGGTTGCAACAAATATGAACACAGCCATCAAAGATGAAAACTTTTCTTTCCTCCACATATGGGTAAAGGTCAAATAAGATACAACAACCAAGTTACTAATCCCATTGATCAAATTCTGCTCCAGGAACTGGCAAAAGAACAAAGAAAAAGAAAGGGCACCTGTTTCTTTCTTGGCAGAGTTGAGAACTCCTTGCCTCTCAATCCTCCTCTTCCTATCCTGCTTCACTTTCTCCATGAGTTCATCATCCTCATCAGCTTCCAGTATTGCAGCATTAGCAGAAGAAGCAGTGATGTCTGCATTGGGCAGTGATGAGAAAGCGAGGCCAGTGATTAAGCAAAGAGCTAAGCTCCTCCTGCTGGTTACCACATCACGGGATTCTGTTGACGAGGAGGAGTCACTGCAAGCTCTGCATAAATTGGGCAGTTTCCTGGCTGTTCTAAAGGGCTGTGGAAATGCTAGTGAAGAAGATGAAGAATGTGGTGAGGGAGATGTTGGGGAAGCGAGAGAAGGGGAGAGGAAGGAATTTGCAGTGGAGAGGAATGGAGTTGCCATTCTTGTAAATTTTGTCTTAATGTTGGGGAAGAAAATTTCAGGGACTTAAGGTTTGGTTTGGAGGACAAAAAATGTGCTGTTTTTTTAGTTATGGGTTGCGAAGGATACTGCCTTGTTGAGAGGATAAGGTTTGATGGTGGAAGTGGGGATTTTATGTGTGATGTCTAGTGTGCCAGACCAGTCACTTGTTCAAATGGTTTAGGGTTATGTGGAAATTTTCAGTTTGCTGCCCAATAAATCTTATTTTGAGCAAGACTACCCAAAATTGTTGAGCTCGAATTATTGTTATCTACCTGGGGTGAAACTTGGGATGGGTTAGCATGGTTACTTAATTTTCAGTAAACACGGTGACTACTAAAATCTCCACCCTTCATTATCTTTATTTTAAGTTATTTTTAAATTAACGATAAAGATTATAATAAGGGTTATTTTGGAAATAAAAAAGTGTCACACCTGATTACTCTATATATTGTACCCGAACCCTAATCCTACTGCAACTCACCCACCCTCTTTCGATGCATCTCGCCGGCCGCCACCCCTCCCACGCCATCCTACCACCACCCTTCCTCCTCTGCTACCTCCCGCCGCCCCAACCCTCCTCCATTGCCACGACCTCTCTCTCTCACTTAGCGGCGGAGGTACAAATGACGGCCTCGTCCACTTACAAATGACGGCCTCTCCATTTCCACTACCTCTCAATCTATCAGACTAATTCCCACGGCCTCCTCCATTTACCATTACAAGGTCTCCCCTTCTCCTCCTCCTCCTCTCCCTCCCTCCCTCCCTCCCTCCCTCTCTCTCTCTCTCTCTCGGAAAGGCTCTAGATTTGGATTTACTTTTTTGGTACTGGTTTATTTGTTTCGTTTTATGAAATTGTAGTTTTGTTTTTCTTAATGGTATTGATTTATTTCTGCAATGATATTGTTTTGACTTTTGTAATGATATAGATTGTTTATATTGGTAGTTTTAGTGTAATGGTATTGTTTTTCCTAATAGTATTGATTTATTTCTGCAATGGTATTGGTGTTTTCCGAAATGGTAATGGTTCTAGCGGATTGGTATTAATTTAAATCTGCAATGGTATTGATTTTTTGTGAAATGGTATAGATTTATATTGGTAGATTGTTTATAACGGTGGTTTTCGTGTAATAGTATAGATTTATTTCTGCAATGGTATTGATATTTTTCAAAATGGTAGTGGTTGTCTAATAGATTGGTAGTGATTTCGTGTTTTTTTTTCTTTTGCAGAAAGATTGAGAAAAACAAGGAAAGAGGATCTGGTTGGAGATTATGGAAGTGAGAGAAAGAGAGAGAATTGTAATTAATAGATTCTTGTAACTACCTAAAATATAATTTATTAAAAAAATTTGTTAATACAATTTATTTTTCATACCCAATTTACCCTCAGTAACCACGGTGATTACTACTTTTGTAGTAATCACCGTAACCTGTCCCATGAAACTTGGTGAAATCATGTATGGTTCAACTCAAGGTGTGGCAATTAGGGGGTAGAAGCTCATTGTCTTATTGCCTTTAGAAAATGCGTGGGAATTGAGATCTTTGTACATTTTTTATGAGTCTACACATAATATAATACACCGAAGGAAAAAATGGGAGCCCTATTTCAAATTTCCTGCAACGAGAGTGAAAGTAGGAAGGACATTTTGGTCTTCACAACTACTTTTTTTATTCATTAAAAAGACACGTACTGGGATTCGAACCATGACCATTTTCAAGAAAACCAAGGATCATAACCAATCACACTAAGTATATTTGTTATATCTTTTTAAATTAAAAACATATAATAGCAGGGAGGCAAAAACGCTTCCCCCATTTCAAATGCCATGCTCCATGAGCGTTTGTAGGAAGGGTAAAATAGGGAGTGTCAATTTTTTTCTCTTTCCTCTGTGGAACGGGCCAACTTACCGTACACATGGGGATTTAAACGGGTCCAGGAGTGTCAATTTTTTTCTTTAAGCCCTTTTATTTCTCCTTGGTGATAAAATATATATGAAAAGGCAAAAATAATACTCATTTTTATTGCTAAAAATAAAAAATTTAACAATAAACTAATGCATGGTATATAATGGGCTAATCGCTAACCATAAAATAAAAGAGTTGAATGGGTCTGACCTACACGGGATTTGTCCATCAAGTAAAACAAATGAACATCATTGGTTTGTCATTCTAAAACAAGCTATTTTCTCTGGCATAATATATATTATGCTATTATTTTCTATCTTAGTGGCTAAAATATAATGTGTTTTAAAGTTATTCAATGGTTCAACCTCGACCAACCCAATTAGTCCAATTTTTATCATTTCAAATAGGAATGGCAATGGGGCAGGTCCAGGGCGGGTATCTCGATACCCATACCCGCCCCATGGCAGGTCGGGTCCAGGTCGGGTAATTTATCACGGCGCGCGGGTAGGGGCAGGTCGACCCGTTGGGCATGTAATTATGCGAAAAACATTAGAAACATTCATTATTTTCATTAAAAGACCAAGAAAGAAACCATAATATGATAAAATGTAGTTAAATTATTGAAGAAATTGAGGTTTTCACTTATTTACAACTTTATTATAGCTAAAATATAATGTAATAAGAGGAAATCCTAAGTAATTTGACTAAGATTATATGTAATATAGGCAAGAACGGGTCGAAAAATGGGGCGGGTCAGGGCAGATCGGGTCGATGAGAGGTTCCCATGCCCGCCCCGCTCCGCCTACGGGGCGGGTTTGACCTGCTCCAAAACAGGTCAAACAGGTCGGGTAAATCGGGTCAGGTCGAAATTGCCATCCCTAATTTCAAATATATATTATATAATTATTTGATATCATAATGATCAAATTATAGTGTATTTTTTAGGGAATCGTTTGGTATTTGTTAGTAAAAAACTAAACAGAACGATCTATTTGGTTATTTTAAACATTAAAACGATCCTAAACATTTTCAGTTCTTTTTGAATTTTTATGGTTTTATTCTCGAATAAGTGATGTGCAAATGGCGAATTGCAGTCATCTCTTTTCTTTCACTATTTTTTATTTTCAAATAGAAAGTTTAAAAGTAAAGAATAATTAGAATTTGGCATGGGTCGGTCAAACATGCTGAATTTCAAGTTTTGGCCCGTTTTGATCAAGTCTAATTTATAATCACATGGTTCCCTGATACCCGATAAAAATCTCAATCCAAACCAGTTTGGCAGGTGAGTCTGTGTTTACCACCATTTTCTAGGATACGACAACGGCGGTTCCTATCCCAAATTGTGTTATTCGTTTTTTATTTCCTTAGATTTTATCATGGCCTAACAAAAACTAGAAAGCACAATGACGACAAGATGAAAGTTTTATAAAGCAAATTAATCGACCAACGGGCCGAGTAAAAGCTAGCAACGATTGTGAGATACTCATTTCCCGAAAACCGACGGGATAGGCGATTTTTTATTCGATTTTATGGAATTCGGTTTCTATAAAACTTACTCCACCTCATCATATTACCAGAAACAATATTGTTTCACAAGGTAACATGTACTTGATTTTGGTTCATAAGACCGATTTTTTATTCATTGCATCATTCATGTCTCTTTCTTGCTAAAATTCACTATTTTTATCACGAATTTCCCAAAAAAAAACTATACAACAATAAGCTATACACCCCATTAAATTATCAAATTTCATACATCACCTTCTCCCGGCCAAATGACCGGGGGCCACGCTAGTTATCAATAGATGATGCATTGGATATAACAAGGTATATGTCTTGCTCAATTGAATCATTCTACTAACGTTACTGATTTGAGATCAATTAGGGATTTAGGGTAGTACGACAAGAGTTTTTTACTTTTTTAAGCTTTACCCAAGCTATTCAATCAAGCCCAAGAGAACATAATGGGCCGGAAGTTAATAAGTAGAGTGTTTGGGCTCAAAGTTTGTAGGTGGATGTGAGTATGGTTAGGTCCAATGTAAGATTGGACCGGATGAGAAAGAAGTAGGGATGGCAATAAAACTCATGGCCGCGGGTATCCGACCGCCCCCGACCCAGTCAACGCGGGGAATCCCTGCTTTGACCGGGTATGAGGCGGGTATGGGTAAAACCCGCAAAAAGTTTGATGGGTATGGGGCGGGTATGGTTTTGACCTCCCCCGCCCCATACCCATACCCATACCCGCCCCACCAAGAGAATTTCTTCACATATAAACAAATATGTGGATTAAATTGTAATCTATCAATGGTGATGAGGATAACTCAAGGAAATAAATAGTAGAAATGCAATTGAGTGACCATTTTAATCGAAATCTAATTCATTTCCCTCAATTCTCCTTTCACCTTTCACTTTTTCCCTTGTCTACAAGATTATGTTAGTTAATTATTACTTAGTAGATGTATAAGAGTTAGAAGATAATAATTTGAAAAATATTATACTCTATATTATATATTAATGGATGTTTTAGGATCATATACTTTGAACCGTATTAAGAAAATGATCGTGTTTTGTTGACTTCGTGATATAATAGGTTCGTTTAGAGTAATAATTAAAACTTTTCTTGTAAATTTTAGGTATAATAATGTTGGATGTATGGGTACGGGTATTACCCATGGGTACCCGAAACCCACGGGTATGGGGATGGGTTTGCAAAACATTCCCCGCATGGGTATGGGGCGGGTATGGGTTTGGGTATTTGAAGATGGGGATGGGGATGGTTTAGACAAACCCGCCCCATTGCCATCCCTAGAAAGAAGAAAGAACAGGTTGGAAACAAACTAAGAGAAAGTGATTGGATTTATGGTTGGTCATCTTCTCTTTTAATCATCTTACAAAAATTAAAAATGAATTTAATTTTAACAATGATAATGGTGATTTTCAGTTCATTCGTGACTTGGATAAAATGGTTAATCTCTTCTCAAAAGTGGTTGATTGGATAGCACACTTGTAAGTTGCACCAGAACTTCACTGTTACAAGGGAAAACGACAACCGATCGCTTGCTTCCACATATCGAATGAATTCAAGAGAAAGTACCGACCTAAAAATAATGCTTGGCTTTATATTATGACATATTAAGGTCGGTCGAAGGACCGAATGATCGACCATTCCGTTGAAGAGGTCAACCTCTTGATTTTCAAGTCAACCGAATTGAA